GCGCTCCGAGAGAGAGAATAGTCTTTAACCTTTTCTCCGCCAGATTTCACAGAGTGGATAGTAGTAGTAATAGTAATAGTACTCATATATGACTCTCACTCCCCTTCTCTCTACGGTGCTATTTTCAAATAGAACATTATTCTCGTTACGTGATATTTCTGCTCCTGCGGGGAGCTTAATTATTGAAGCGCTCGAGAATGGAAAATCACTCCAGCTTTCCGATAATGGATCATTAGAGTTTTCTACTTTTTTTTATTAGTGTAAAATAATTTTCACAATTAAACAAACTTGAGTCTTATGGAATCTCTAATTCTCAATCTCGCTTCTCGACATCCAGATGTCCTGCTCCGCTGGCGGTGCCCGCGAAATTTGTTCTATAAATAGCGCTTGCCGAAATTTCGCGGGGCCGTTGGGCCCCCGGAATCATTCTCAGGGTCTTCGCTCGCAACTGAACATTCAAATGTCGCCGATTGCTTTACAAATTTTTGGCGAAACGCGAGCCGCACGTTTATCTGCGATCTGTCTAAGAAAATCTTCCCGAGTTCATTCCACAGCGCACTGTCGCTTTGCGTATCGATTATTTCTGCGGGGTCCCCCGCCTCGCTCCGATATCCGATCGCCGCGTTTCACAGAGCGTCCGGTATCCGGTGTACCGCCGCTGATGGCTAGTTATACCTTCGTCGTCTTTGCACGCGGGCGCGGGGGGAATCGCGCGAGGAATAGATAAGCAAATAAATAAACTAGCGGGGCAAGGCGAGTCAAGGCGAGAGCGCGCGCGCATGAGACGGAGAGAAAGAGAGAACGAGTAGGGCCGGTGATTCTCGGGCGAACGTTCGTCGGCGGGGTCGACGGCCTGACACGGATGGTTGACGCCGTGGGGCCCGCCTTGTAACCGGCCTGGGAAGAAGAACGAGAAAAGGTAGATAAAGAGAGGAAAGAGAAGGGCCCACCGTCGTCGTGAGCGGCGCGTTTTCGCCCTCCGCGGAGACCGCCGCGCGTACCCCCCGGCTCGACGATCTGTCTGGGTCAGTTGGCCCCCCCAGCGCGCGCGTGTACCCGTTTTCCCTTTCGGAATTGTAGCAAAAGGATTGGCTTGAAATAAACCTCATCCGGATGTCCCTTAAAAATAGATCGATAATAGTTCGGTCGAATGCTCTTCGATCAATTTCGAATAAATTTTTCCGTCACGTCGATTACCTTAGGTTTTCATTCAGTGCGCCACGAGTGTCCCCGAGTGTGCTATACCTCCCGCTTCCCGTCGACCTCGTCGTCCCCCCTCCCCCCCTTCTGCCTCTCGCGAAAGAGTGATCGATGGACGACGACGCAAGGGGTGGCACGAAATTGGGGCGTTGCGTATTTATCGCTCCTACCTCGCCGCTATTTACCGTACCTGCGGCTTTTTCGCCGCCGGCCCGTTTTATCGTCCGCCCGCTTTATTTCCTTAACCCC